CACAGACACACACACACACACGCGCACACACACAGACACACACACGCACACACACACAGAGGCACAGACACACACACACAGACACACACAGTGGAGCTCAGTCCAGAGCATTCTGACAGTAAAATGCTCCATAAGAGGATCCTGGTTGTGTTTCTGAGGCAGACCTCTTGCCCACGATACTGAGCCCCAGTCCTCGGCCACTCTTCCTCTGCAGCTCCACCTTAAAGACGTCCAGGTTCTCCTCCTCTCTGTACTGAGCCTCGTCCCTCAGCACCGTGAGCCGGACCTCGGCTGGCGTGTGGCGCAGGGCGGCGATGGCCTCCTCGTGGGACGCTGCCCGGAGGTCCACGCCGTTCACCTGCCTCACACAGAGCACGCTCAGAGGGAGGCCCAGGCAGAGGTCACATGACCAGCAGCACATCCCGGTTCTTTACCCCCCGACCCAGTGTGCTTTGGTGGTTTGATAACCAAGGACCTGAAGGCTACAGGCCCACTATCAGCAAACACCAGCTTCAAATGTGAGGACGACCACACAAAGTCTGACTATAACCCAGCGTTGTTTTTATCACAAGTTGAAATCCCACCTTATCTCAGCAGCAGACACTTGTATTAAACATAAACTCAGGGTTGGTGGTCCATAATGAGGTTGCGTGACATAGAGTCATTTTTTTCCTGATATGACTAATCTCTTAAGGCTGCTCTTTTGCTAATCATAAAAGATAAAGGAAAACCATTTCTTTTTGCGTCAAACCTGGAGTCTGTGTATGCAACCAGACCTCTTTAAGTCACTTTATTCTACTTTATTAACCCTTATAACGTCAGCCAGTGGAAAGGGTTCAAAAGCCTGTTTCCGGTTGGACTGACAGTGATTGGTGTGATTCCAGGTGTGTGGTTGTGGGTGTTTTGCGTCCTCAGAATGAGTTTATGACCCCCTGAGGACTCCCTAAGTGTCCTGACCCCACCGGCTGCCCGTACCTCCAGGATCTGGTCTCCGGCCCACAGCCGGCCGTCTCTGGCTGCCGCGCCCTCCTCGTAGACCTCATGGATCACGATGGCGTCCTGGTGGACAGATGGGTGTCAGCTCTGGTGAACCATCAGTCCATCGGGTCACATGACACAGGCGTGTGTGTTACCAGCTGGGTGTCCCTGCCTCCCACTATGCTGAGGCCCAGGCCGGACCGGCCTTTGGAGATCTGCAGCAGCGTCTCCTGACCGGGGACCACGGTGCAGCAGGACGGGTCTGAGGGGGGGGGGGGGCAGCGTTAGAGGCAGGGCGATGCGGGAACCAGAGGGGGGCGGGCCTACCTGTGTCAGCGACGGCCGGCTCGGCGTGGATCACAGGTGCTGGCGCCTGTTTGCTGTCCGACCTGCAGGGCTGGACACGGGTCAGATCAAACGGACTGATCAGCACCAAACAGCCGGAGAGGAAAGCTGCCCCCCGGTTTAGGCCACAAACCAGAAACCAAATCTAGCTTTGGTTCTGAGGCCCTGCTTCATTCAGAACCAGTAAGTTCTGCAGTTCTGGTCCAGCTGTGTTCCACTTTCCCACCAACAGAAACCAGAACGGTTAAGGGTTAATTTCTGATCCAAAGCACCCTGCAGCCCTTAGGCTTTGCAGAAAGGAAACCGGTTCTGGCCCGAACGGAGTCCGGGCCAAAACCGGTGATGAAACTGGTGATGAAACATTTAGGAAAAAGATGCAGAACATCTGCTTTAGGCCACATGTGTACGGCCCAGGTGACAGCAGCTGTGTTGGAGCACAGGCAGCTGGTTCTGGTCCGTTTGTCAGGGGCTGCTTATGCCACAAAATCAAGTCATTAACATGAGTAAAATTCTAAATACTTGGAGAAAATGTGCTGAAACATTTCCACAAAGACAGCCCTCCATGCAGTGACTTTTACCTGAAGCTCCAGTGGGGCCCTTGGATCCTGCGGCTGGTTTTCAGGGGGCTCGGCAGCTTTCAGCTTCTGCAGGAGGAAACAGAGCAGACTGGGTCAAGGAGAGCCGTCCCGCCCTGATTCAGTCAGCAGATCCAGGTTTCTGGGATATCCACGGCTGAGCTCCGACGGAGGGCCGGCCCACTTTCAGCCAGCGGCCTCCGGTTCTGCTGACCACCACGTCAGCAAAGACTGAGCCAGCGGCGGTGCACAGGCATGTGCGAGTGTGCGTTCAGGGTGTGTGTTTCCGCCCCACCTTTCTGGAGCTCTGGGCTGGGCTCCTGCTGCCCCCCTGGTTCTGCTCGGCCTCGCCCTGTCCAGCAGACCCCGCTGTGCTAGGGGAGGGGCGGAGCCTCAGACTGTCCAGGGGGCGGGGCCCGTCCGAGGGGGCGGAGACACCAAGCAGAGCTGGAGAAACACACTGACACACCCAGATAAAAACGGTTTATTCCTCTGAGGGTTAGAGGCTCCCAATAGAATCAACATCAACCCCAAACCGACCCCAAACAGACCCCAATCTGACCCCACACTGACCCCAAACCGACTCCACACTGACCCCAAACGAAAACAAACCGACCCCAAACTGACCCCAAACCGACCCCTGACCCCACACTGACCCCACCCTGTAGTTGCCCTTTAAAACCGTGGGGGTCAGAGTAGTTGCTCCATTAGTGTCCTGTTCTCTGGAGCCATTACCCACAGCAGCTGTCAGCTCTGAGGGCTGATCTGACCCGTCTCTGACCTCTCGGAGGGGTCAGACTCCCTGAGTCTATCTACAGTGATCTGGCCTGTAGAGGCTGCAGGACCACAGCTCCTCACAGACTCAGAGAACTTGTCGGTTCTGTGATGGAGTTTGGCACAAAGCGGTGACAGCTGGCAGGACTTAGGACCTGCTGGACGAGGAGATGTGTGAGTGGTCACCTCTGGGCTGATGTTGGTCAGAGCCGGTGGAGGCGGGGGGGCGGGGAAGGGCGCCACAGCCATCTGATGGATGGCCTCTTCATTTCTACAGAGAACACACAAACACACCATCTGTCAGGTTGCAGAGCAGAACCACTCCTCCTGGTTCTGGTTCTGGTTCTGGTTCTGGTCCTGGTTCTGGTTCTGGTTCTGGTTCTGGGTGGTTCTGGTTCATGTGTTCAGCAGCTTCTAGATAACTAAAGATGGCTCCTCCCTCCGGCCCCTCTGGGTTACTCCTTCTGGACGGTTCTGGTGTTCAGTTCTGTGACCTTTCACCCTGCAACGACAGCCCGTTTCCATGGCGACGAGCAGCTGCAGCATCCGTCCCCCTGGCGCCGTGGCAACCTTAACCCACAGAGGACAGGACCAGAACACCGGCTGGGCCGGTTCTGTTCCAGAGCTGGTTCTGTCTGGATGACTCCGATCTAAAGTTCTGCTCCTCACAGGTGGAGCTCTGAATGAGCAGCCTGGTCAGAGCCTCAGTTCCCATGATGCACCTGTCTGAAGCCAGCAGGCTGGAGGCGGCTCTCCCCCTGGGGACCAGTGGGACCAGTTGGCTTTGCAGCTGGACAACAGAAACCCTGAGAAGACCGGGACCAGAACCCAGCAGAACCCAGGCTGTGTCAGAAGGTAGAGGGAGGGCTTTAGCCCACAGACTGCTGTTTTTAAGGGCTAAGACAGAAGTCCTGGTTGTCCTGGTGAGTTTAGCTCTGCCCCCCCCCCTCCCCCCGTGCCCTGGAGGCCCACCTGAGCAGGATGAGCTGCACCTTGGAGGCGGCGCTCTTGATGATGGCCGAGGCGTTCTGGTGGCTCCGCCCATACAGGACCTGGTCGTTGATCTGAGAACAGAGGGGGGGGGGGGGGGGGTGGTGCTGAGAGAGAACAGATCGGGTCACAAACTCCAGCTTCCTGTGAGCTTTGAGACCTCTGGGTGATGTTTCTGCTGTGCAGCTGAACGGGCCTGACTCTGTTTCAGGCTCCGTCTTCAGGCAGGTTTATTTTACAGAACGTTTCCTGTACAAGACCATTCAAAGATTCAAAGAGCTTACAGAGTACAGAGAATTTAAAAGCAGAAAAATAGTACAAGTCTAAAAATTAAACAGAAGAAGGCAGCAGATAAAATCCGTCCAGTTTCCATCAGTACAGTTAAACAGAAGCCTTTTCATCTGGATTTAAACATCCAGAGCTGGGTTCTGTCTCATCTTCAGGAGGTCTGATCCAGGTTTGAGGAGCCTGGATCTGAATGAGGCCTCAGCTGGTTTAGTTCTGGGCCGTGGTCTTCCAGCCCTGCCTTTAGAGGCTTAGACCCCCCTCACCTCCAGGAGGCCCCCCTCACCTCCAGGATTTCATCTCCAACATGGATGCGTCCGTCCCGGGCGGCCGCCCCCCCGGGGTGGAGCCCCACCACGAAGATGCTGAGCCGGGACCGGTCCCGGTTCCCGGCCAGGCTGAGGCCCAGACCCTGCCGCTCCTTCTCCAGCTGCACGCTCAGCAGCTCCCCCTGCAGGTCGCCATAGCGCTCACACCACCGCTCTGAGGGGAGAGGGACACGTCAGCCTCACACACACACACACACACACGCACGCACACACACACACACACACACACCTGCTCACACGCACACACACACACGCACAAACACACACACACGCACACACACACCTGCTCACACGCACACACACACACACACACACACACACACACACGCACAAGCACACACCTGCTCACACGCACACACATCAACACACACACACGCACAAACACACACATACACACACACACGCATACACACACCAACACACACACACACGCACGCACACAGAGACACAGGCGCACACACACACACACACACACACACACACACACACA